GTATAAAAGATACTTCTGGTCTGTGTGCAAGCTCTCAGAAGTAAGTTTATCAAAGAAAAGCACGAAACAAAAGCTTTTTTCAAAAGTATGCAAACTTTGACACTCATGTCCTCTTCTCTTCTGCACAGCCTGGCAAGGAGAGTTCAAACCTTTGCTTCCCACACACAGTTATAGAATCATCCAGAAAGAATGGGCCAGGTTGGGAGGGACCACAGTGGATCCCCTGGGCCCACCTCTCTGCTCAAGCAGGGTCATGCCAGAGCACATGGCATGGGATTGTGTTCAGACAATTTTAAATATCTCCAGTGCAGGAGATTCTAAGACCCCTCTGGACAATCTGCTCCAGTGTGCAGTCACCCACACAATAAAGAATCCTCTTGTGAGCATGTCAGGCATTTGCCTTAAAATCCAAAACAACAGCTTCTAGGAACTGCCCAGCAGTCTGCAACAAAATAGATTCAGTCAGCCTGGACCACTCACTATTTTTTGCATGGCATTAGTTATAATGGCTAATGTATCTGCCTATACAATCACTTTATGGCAGTGCTGAGGTTTTTTTCTTTGGCAAAAACTTGAATCCATCTTGAAGAATCAAATCCTTCAAATCAAATCCTTGTTCCTCTGCTCCTCCTGTCCTTCATGAAAGGTGTCCTTCTGAAGCAATGAGATAAATATTTTCCATGCCTCTGATGGCAATCAAAATCATTCCTTCTGAGTCATAATCCCAATTAAACTGTTCATGCCCTAGAACTCCGGGGAACTGTACTTGCTTTGGGGCAATGGTCTGCACCAGTCCCAAATTGTGCTTCATACCTTTTCATAGGGGAAGAAAAGGGCAATGATGATGCACAAATAACAGAACTCCTGCAGCTATGCTCTGTGCTTATTGAGCAAACACATCACAGGAAGCATCTGGGAAATAATGAACAGATGCATGAACTGGAAAGCAAAACTAAACATCTGTACCCTCACCAATCAAACCGCAGGGAAAACCTGGGAAAGTATCACAAATATTTACCACACAGCTAATGAAGTGCAGAAGATTCTGGCAGAATCTCTTAAGAGAGATGAAAACATCTTTAAAATGAGGCTATTGTCAGCCTCAAATGTGATGTTTTGTTTAAGCCATAAAGATGCTTTAGCTAAGTGGTTAGAAGCAGGTCAATGAGTTGGCAAACATGGCTTTTTTTTTTTTTTTTTTTTTTTTTTTTTTTTTTTTTTTTAAGAGCCTGGGTAGTCTTGAAGGAGAGTGGAATTGAATCAACAGAGCAGTAGGGGACTGGATAGGCTCCTGCAGCATGGAGAAAATGGAGATTTCTGTGCCAGTTTTGAAGGGCACGTTTCACCACCCCTTAGCAGGAGATGTGTGGGCTGCCTGCAGTCTCCAGGCAGAGGCAGTGGGGCACTCCAGGCACAGGATGAGGCCGTGCAGGGCCAGGCAGGGAGGCCTGGAGGGGGTGGCTGTGCTCAGATATGCTGCTCTCTCTGATCCACCTCTAGCCCTGAGCTCTGAGCAGGCAGCAAGGCAGAACTCCCAAGGCCCCTCTGGAGAAGGGATTTGGAAGAGGATGAGCATGGCAGTTATATATAGATACATAATAGAAAATGTTTTCAGTAAGGACAATGAAAAGCTTATTTTTCCTAACTTGTCTCTACAAATCATAAGTTTTTTGTCATATGACGGACCAACCCTTAGGACAGAAGCACCCATATCTACATTGGAGATGTCTCAACACATTTGTAAGAGAAATAAAAACAGTAAATCAATTGGAGACTCTCCACCAACTTCAAAGATCACTAGACTGGGCTTTCACTGCCAATACTAATACGGGATCTCTGCTGCTTAGATGTTCATGGCTACTGCCATTGAAATGAATTGCCTCCAATATGAACATAAAATCACGCACATAACTCTTCATCTCCAGTTGCTTGATGGCTTTATAGAGAAGTCTCTTGGCAAAGAAATTAGTAAAGAGTTATAAACTCTTCTACTGTTCTTTGATGTCCCCAGGCAACTCATGTCAGAGACGGAAGTAAATGCAGGAAGAAGTAAAAGTCAGCAAAAAAGCTTCAAGTGGAATTTGCAATCATCAAATGCAGAAACTGACTGAAAATCTTTCTGTATCTCAGCTTTTGTACTTAGCTGACACATGTTAAGTCAGTAAAATGAAAATCAGAGTGCTTGCTCCAAGTGTTCATACAGACTTGTAGGAACTCATGAATTCATGGGGAGGACTATGGAGGGAGTGACGGTGGAAGGATTTGACTGCTGAGCAGGAAGATGGAGAAAGGGAGGACTGAATAAAATGCAGATCAGGAAAATCAGATAACCATGACAAATACAAACGAGCTCTGAAAGACTTTCTGAGTCTCTAAGAACTGTAATAAACTTTAATATGTTTCGGGAATGAGATAATGAGTCGAGCGAGTCAGTGATACAGAGGCTGGCATGCTTCTGATATGCATAAAAATCCCTTCTCACGACAGAGCTGCCCAAGCCCTTGTCCCTTTGAATCTCCTAACAAACCCTTCTTCTTTCTGAGGTGTTACTTGTGACTCAGCAAGTGGGCCAGTACTGAGTCAATAGCATGGCATTCATTTTTGTGTGAATCCTTTGCTGAGGCTTTTCTGGGTGAGTGGTGATGGGCTGAAGCTGGTGGCTCCCAGCTCAGCTCCGTGGTGGGAATCTGTGCTTGGACTGAAGCTTAAAAGCAATCAGTGTGATGACAAGAAGCATGACAGCACTGAAGATGCCACAGACACTTTTCCCATGGCTCAGGGGATATTTGAGATGTGAACCATCTGCAGATGTAGAGGTACTCCATGCTCTGAGGCTGTTTTCACCAAAAGGGCATCTAAAAGCTAAAAGGTATAAAAATGAATAGTCATCATTATGGACTGGATTTCTGCCAGCTGCTAAGTAATTAGAGTTTTAATTGCCCAGTAATAAAAGTTTTAATTACTCAGCAATTAGTGCTGAAGTTTGGAGTGCTTCACATGCACTCAGTTGCATCCTTGAATTGTCAAGAGCAAAAAATGGAGTAGCTCCAGTGCGCCTCAGCAAAGCTCTGAGCAAGAGAGGGAAACATCAGGGATGGAGCAGCTATGCCTGAAACCCATCCTAACTGCACTATCTAACTGCAGTATGTTTATTGTAATTTAACAAAATATTTTACCTTTTCCCTAGATAATTTAAGGCCAAAATACCCTTTGTATCATCAAGTATGAATTGCTTCATACCTAGCATTATCATGATTCATTTTCCATATGCAGGATAATAAAGGTCCTGAGGCTCTGGTTTCTCTCTTCTTGCTTTGCTAGAATTTAAATATCATTAACAAGCCAAACTATAACAAAGTCAGCAGTTGCCAATGGTGCAGGAAGCTGGGCTGCATTTAGGGTACCAAGTGTGGAAGAAACTGCCTATATATGATCTGCTTGGGTAACCCCAAAGAGGCAAATTGTCTGATAAACCATGTAGTCAGAGAGCTGGGACAACTTTTCCATAAAATAATTACAGTTGCTCCAGCCTTTTTTTTTTTCTTTTCTTTTCTTTTCTTTTTTTTTTTTCTTTTTCTTTTTCTGGTAGAGGAAGGGCAGGTCTTAAAATGATGTTCAGGTTTTTTACAGGCAGCGTGCAAAATCCATCACAAGAACTTTGGCAAAACCAGACAAAATTGATTTAGTAAAAATGTTTCATGGGAAAAAATCTGGTAGAGGAAGGGCAGGTTGAAACCTTCCAAAAAATTCAAAGTAAGGTCCATGTTCTACTACGTGTTACTCATAGCTCTAAAAAGTCTTAATTTTGACAGGGGAATCATAATGCCTGTCAAAATTTGGGGGATTTGTTTCCTTTTTTTCTTAGACTGGTTTCCAAATTTATCTATTGGCAAACAGTTAAAGTTGAGAAGTGAAATTTATGGGAAACATACCAACAGTCACATAAGCACAAGTTAAAAAAGTAAAACCTTCCTATTCCTGAATGGTAGAAAAAAATCCAACAAATTCAAATTATGATTACCCAACCATCAAAATCGAAATTATATACAAATAATATACAAATAAAACATTAAACAGAGTTTTTCCCTTTTTGCTCTGAAAGTAATTTAGACTTTTTAACAGTACATGGATGGTTTGTAACTTGGTTAATAACTCAAAGCATTTAGGTCTTCTCTAAAACAGCATCAGATGTTTTCTATACCCTGGACTGTCCAGGTCACTGATTCCAGAAATGCTCTACTTCACTGGGGTGCTGAGTTCAGGGGCTGTACATATGTTTCCTGTCTCATTTCCCTGAGACAACATCTGTAGTGCGCTTCACAGTGGTGAACAGATACCTGATGGTAGCAGGCTCTATTTTGTTCCAGTTATTACACTGCAAAGTATTAAAGTCACACTAAGCTGGGATTCACCTCACTGGATGTAGCTGCCTCGTCTAAGCTGGTAACAGGCTCAGTGAAGTGACACAGACATCTGGGTGAGTCACTCCTTCCAAGTGTAAATGCCCAGGACAGACGAGCTGGTTACTCTCTGGAGGATCTGTCTCTAATAAATAAGGAGAGATCAACTTTTAGGCAATTGAAACCAGGAGAAATGTAGACTCTCAGAAGCATGACAGTAGAAGAACGGACCAAATAAAGTCTTTTTTGTTGAGTATCAGTACTGATTTCCCCTTCCAGATCCAAGAAAAGAGCCTGTATTTCAGACAATGTTAATGCTGCAATTATTCCTTTCACCTCTGGTGGTGCAACTCAGAGTCCCAGGCTTGGATAACAAAGCACCCTGTGTCAGGCACCCTATGGATCCAGATAACCTCCATCCTTGGTAGATCAGGGTCAAAGCAATCCCTGCCAGACATTTAATTTACAGTCAAAGACCATACTGTACAGTAAGACTTCGCAAGAGGCATTTTTTTACTTGATTCTATTGTTGAAAAGTGCTGCTTCTTGTCAGCGTTTGGCACCTTATGGAACCTCTCTTTTCCCATTGCTGTTTTCCAGCTGTGCTTTTCCCAGCTGCTCAGAGATTCAAGAGGTCCTCAGCTGCCTTCCTGAATCCAGTGTTACAAAACTCGCTGGAAGATGTGGTCCTGCTTTATGAGGTTCAGTATATGATACCTTAAGCCTTAACTAAAACTGGGGATACTGCCCATAATTGGGTTACCCATTATCTGGCTTTGTGTCATTTTTATTCATCCCAGCAGTAAACCCGTGGCTATGTGATAGTGCACCAGAAAGGTGAGAACACATAGCAACTTTCTGTTCTTCCCCAGCTCCAGACAGTGCAACTGTCTCCATTTGACAAAAATTAAAGACCCAAGAACATGTTGTTAATTCACATGCACTCTGTCTAGAGTCTCTTGGAGAAAATAAATAGCTTTCTGTGTTCTGATTTTGTACCAGTTTCTTTTAGCTGAGCTTGACATCGACAAAGGTCAGAGGATCTCCATCAAAGATGAGGAGCTGGCTTCCCTGAGGAAGGCTGCTGAGTTTGACACCATCTGCAACGAGATTATCCCTAAGAGCATCACAGAGATCCGCAGGCTGAGCAGCAGGCTGTCTTCCTACCCGAGGGTCCTCAAGAAGGAAGATTTTGAAAGGACAGTGCTGACCATGGTCTACACAGCCTACAGAGCTGCTCAGTCCCAGGGGCACCAGAAAGACACTTGGGCTGAGTCCTTTGTCGGTCTCTACAAAGCCCTGAAGAACGACTTGATGCTCCCATACAACAAACAACCCTCTTAGTGGAAGGGGAGCAGCAGCTCAGCCACCTGCTCTGGTTGGGGAACGACACCTCGTAGCACGCCCACCACTTTATTCTGTAAAGAGTTTAATAGCCTGCTTCGTGAAAGATTGTTCGTTTTCTGGCTCCCTCTTGTGGAGCCTGCTTTCTCGTTCCATGCTAAATGGTGAAAAACCTCTTCAGTCCTGAGAATTCGGTTTTTGTGCTGGTTGGAGGCACGTTCTCTGACAGGAAAAGAAGGCAGTTTGGTGCACACCCAGACAGACCCTTGTTTCAGGCAAACCCTTGATTCATTCTTTGGGTTTCCTATAAGCAATACATAAATATACTGTGCTTATGCTCACATGCTGCTGTGTAAGTGCTGCTTTCCTAGCTGGGGAAACAAGTTCATGTTTTGGCTGGCCAGTAAGAGGATATTACACAGAGATGAAGGCCTGCTGTAAAAGGAAGAGGTTTCATAACTATCAGCCTTCAGAAATTATGCCACATATTATCCATTCCAAATGTTCTCATAAATAAACACCCTCTGATTCACTTCATTGGCTGAGCCAGTTTTTAATTGCAATAACATTTTCAGAAGACAAAGGGCATTGTGAAGACCAGCAGCAAACAATGCCTGTGAACGTATTCCCCTCTTCCTGGAGCTGTCCTCCCAAACAGTCTGCAGTGATTATTTCATTATTTGCACATGACTTTGCTTCTGCTGCTTGTTTTTTGTGTGTTTGTTTTTTTTTTTTTTTTTAAAGAACATGTATTTGTCCTCAGTGGAATCCAAGGCAAGACAAAAGCCCTATTTAATTCAATAATGACACATTTTTCCTGGTTCTGTTGCTTGAACATAGGTCATCTAAACCTATTCTCTACAATCCCACTGAGGCAAGGGAGGAAGGTGCATTAAAACATACCTGGTGCTGAATTTGGCACTGTGGCTCTTTTTTTTAACAGTAAGTTGTATATTCATTTCAGTATCCTTGTGTTTGTGTGTGTGTGTCTATGTTCATGCATGTGTGTGCACATGAGTGCTGAGTACGTAGAACAATCCCAAATTGTTCAGTCGGTGAACAATTGCATCTGACCACTTGGCAGAAAAGGCTATTTACCAATTCAGTGGTGCGAATTATGAATTTGGGACTAGCAAAGGAAAAACTGTAGAAGTACTGCAACCAATTATAATGAACTCCCAAAAAAGTCATGAACGGAAAAGAGACAGAAAATGGAGATCTATTTTGTCAGAAGGATGACTAGCTATCAAAAATCCAGACTCTTCTAAATCAAACCCATAATGTTTGTGCACAGGAGATACAAACTCTGTTTTTCTATTGATATTAGAGGTGCTTCTGCTTTTAGACCATGGGAAAATAGCTGAACATATATTTCATCCTTTCGTATCATCATTCTCTATTTTTCTATTGCATAATATATTAAGATGCAGGTCCAAATCACAAATCCCCAAGACTAAAACAGACCTAAGTATTCCAGCCCAAGTTCTGTATCATGTTTAACTGTTTTTGCATCACTTGAGCAAAAAGAATTAATTCTTCTGTGTCCCTTAACAGGGGTACTTCAAGGATTGGAGCTGAAAAAATTCACCCAGAAGCACAGCAAAGAGCACAGTGCAAGCAGTCAGAGCACTGGGCTTGGCAAACGAGAGTGTGGAAGCACAGCAGCCTTAGCCTTGGGGCAGTCTGCCCATGGCATTAGCAGCTGGACAAAGGGCTTATAAAAGACAGACTCAGTTTTGTTTCCCCCAGGAGTTTCTGGATTTGTGTGTATGAGTGTGCACATTCATTTAGACATGCAAGTGTGTAAGTGCATTTTATACCTGAAGAATTTTGTTGGCCATCTTCAAAGCCTGTCTGGCAGATGGCAAAGGAAACTGCAAGCCTCAGGCACAGAGCTGTGGGCCACAAATATCTCTGTCTCCTCTGCTTGCACACACAGAGTTTAGCAGCCCCAAAGCAGCCTTGCTTTCCTGCCCACATGCCCTTTGATCCCTCAGCTTTAACACTGATGATCTGCTTGTGATTTCTTCCCCCCATGCTTTATAAACACATGAAGGGGAAATGCCAGAGTGCAACACTGCCTTTCCAGCTCTGCTTCTTGGCTCCCTGAAACACTACTTGATGGAAGGGCCTGGAACCAGGGCAATTCATAAATCCTCATAGCCAGCTACTCCAGAGGATTTTTGCAAGCTAAAATCCTCTTGCAATTTTAGCTTGCAAAAAATTGCAAGAAAGAGAACTAGAGCAAATATTAATTGCTATCTCAGCAATCAGAGAAATACGTCTCCTTGCCCCACAACAGGACTGCTCAGCAGAGTTTACTAATCATAAAATATCCCATTAAAAAGAATTACAGATAATTTTTAATATCTTATAATTCCCTATGGAATACATACCTTATCATACTTACAAATTGGCAACTGAAACATTTATCTCCTCAACAGAAAGTAAAGGTTTTATGAATTTGTTTCCCTCCTTCTTTTACTGTGTCTAATGTAAGAAAAAGATTTATTCCTTGGGAAAGTGCTTGGACTGCCCAGGTTAATTTAACAGAGACTCTCAATGTAATAATAAAAACATTCTATATAAAAGTCCTTGCCTTTGCATTGTATTGATTTCAGCAGTAGATTTACTATTTTGCAATTTCAGCTTGAGTAATTGCTTATCTCAGACTGTGAAACGCTTCATGGAAGCAATGGTACCGGGGAGAAGAGGGAACAGCCCTTCCCTCTGAAGGAGATAATAAACAGAAATGAGAGTGCCTCCTTTTTCCAGGGTTCAGGTGGAAAGGATCACTCTGCCTTCAGGGAAGTTCTCAGGGCTTCGGACATTTCTCTGCCTCAGTATTGCTTAAGATGCTGGTGTAGGTTGCTTTCTCTCTGTCTCAGTTTTTGTCTTATCACTTTGGACTGAATCTTCTTTATGGGCAGTTCTTATCTCACAAATTAGAAAACCATTGCCCCTAAATGGAACATTTTATCCACCCTTTGACCTTATGGATCATAAAAGTATGAAATAAGATTATATATCCCCACTTAAAATAAAACAAATTTTCATTTTATGAACATTTTAGATATTTTTTTGGTTATTTACTTAGTTTATCTGAAACTATTGAAGAAAAGAGACCCTGAGCTGTTTTGGCCAAACCAAAATCTTCACATTAACTACAGCTTTTCTTCCATTTGTTAAATGTACCTGAAAGGTCTCAAGGTTCTGTTGCTTGATGGAAGTTTTGAGATATAGAAATCTAAGATACAAGTATTAATTTCAGGAAGAATTCACCCTGCACATCAAACTCCTCTGCAAGGCTGCATTTGCCAGGTTTCCAGTGAAAAACTGAGCTCCCAGACTGGACTGTGATGCCTCTGTGACCCTGAGTCCTGGAAACCTGGCAAATGCAGCCTTGCAGAGGAGTTTGATGTGTAGGGTAAATTCTTCCTGAAATTAATAATTGTATCTTAGATTTCTGGCACAGGACAGGCAAGCAAGTTTGAGGGGCATGGAAAATCCTAGATGTGTTCTTCCCATGAGATACAAGGCAAACATACATTTGTCTGTCTACAGATGGTGCATGTAACCAGCCAATGGGTTCAGTCCTAAATCTCCAGTGCTTTCTGTCCCACAAAAAAGCATTAAAAACAGAAGAGTTTGAGAAAAGTTTTTTTCCCCTAGAAGACAAGAGTAGAATGCCTAAAAATTCTCAATCTGATTTGGAACCCTATGGTTACTCAAGGCACAGGAGTCGGTACAGAGATCAGCCCATGCATTTTAAATTAGTGACATCCAAGGATTGTAATGGAAGAAACACAAAGACAAAAGATACTGTTCAGGAAACAATGATTATTTATTTATCATCAGTACAGGGACCCTGCAACAATAACAAACTGTTCAGCAGCCTAAAAAAGGTCTTTTTATATATTTTTGGGAATTCAGAAGGCTGTTGATTTTCTCAAATGTTCTGACTGGGTTTGGGACAATGGGTGGAGCAACTTCTACCTTCTGCAGTCCTCATTGGTGAATTAGAGTTGCCTGTAGCTTTTTAACAAGTTTTTGTCTTGAGATCAAGTATAATCCATGTTGGAATTACTGCCCTGTGAGTTCCAAGCTCAGGGCAAAAGTAGGGTAAAGGTAGATACAAAATAGAAGAAAATAAATAAAATCTGAAGGAGCTGCAAATGGAGGGGGAATTTGGTCTTTTCTTTAAAGAAGTACCTGAAAATTTATTTCAATGCATTGGAAAATAAATTATTTTGTTTAGTAATCTTCCAGCAGAAAAGAAACTGTATTTGAAACTTTCAGACTACCAAACAGGAGGAAAAGCAGCAGCTCAAAACATATCTTGCCTTGTTTATGAAAACGGAAATAACACCACTAGATGATGGAAGAAAAAACTTTATAAAACATGGGAATAAGGATACAACACATCTACAGCTGTGAGTCTGAATAAAAAACAAAATTTGTCAAAAGATCACTATGTTCCTTGAAAACCTCTGCATGTTATGGTGTGATCATAATTCAGATGTGCTGGTGAGCCCTACCTAAACTGAATGTATTTTTAATCAATAAGCCTTTTCAAAACAACAGATTGAAGAATAAATAAAGTAAGAAAGATATTTTTGGTGGCTGTAGGGATAAGAGATGAGGTTGTGAGAGTTTTTTTGGGGGAAATCCAGGCACGGGTGAAGGAAAACGTGGCATGAAAATTGGAATATCTGAGGAACCAGAGAAGAATCTGAAGGAGGAGAAAGCCACCAGAAGGAGCATGGCAGTGATGAAGGAAATTCTCCGATCCAGAAATCTCTTGCTTGTTGTCCTCATTCCACTTCTGCTGCTTCCTCTGCCACTCATATACCCCAGCAGTGTAAGTACATTTTAATTTTCTTTTTAACAAATCTCTGAGTGCAGCAGATAGTCCTTCTGATTAAGTTTGCAGCGTGCAAAAAGAAAGACAAAGATGTCAAGAAGCACAGATCTTAGAAAAATCAAAGACTCACATTTGAAGGACTGTGAGGGTCACTGAGAAATCATCACTAAGAGCTAGAGCTACCTGGAGTTGTGTCACAAGCAGAGCTGAAGAGTCAGGTGAAGCTAGAAAAGCACTGCTTTAAAGCAGAAGTGTTGGATCTCTTTCTAAAATAATATTGTGTGGAAGGGGGAACAGAACAAACACATCCATGAAATTTTCTTTAAGGAGAGGTCTTCAAAAGGTATGCTTATTGACTCTTTAGTTTTTTAGTTATGAGTGTCTATGGAGGGACTTTCAATTTAGTGTGGGTTTATAAAGACAGCAGCTCAGGTGTGGCAGGAGCTGGGGCTGGAGCATGGCACTGGCTGCTCCAGGGCAGGTGTTCTGCTGGAACACTGCTGGAACTCTGCTGGAGCTCTGACACTGTCATACACAGCAATGCAAAGGAGGAAGATCCTCTGCTTAACACACAGACCAGGGAAAGGAGTGAGTGCAGCTGTGTTCCTGACACTGGCATGGCATTGGATGCTCCAGGGCAGGTGTAGGTACCTCTGCTGGAACACTGCTGGAACTCTGCTGGAACTCTGACACTGTCATACACAGCAATGCAAAGGAGGAAGATCCTCTGCTTAACACACAGACCAGGGAAAGGAGTGAGTGCAGCTGTGTTCCTGACACTGCTTTGGAGATACTGAATGCCTTGACCACACGGTAAAGTCCTCTCTTTGCACCTCTCTGCAGTTTTAACCCATAAAATAGCAATGTTTTTCTGCCTTAGACAGGTGGTGATATTTAACTTATCAAAATCTGCAATGTATGAAAAATCTGTAGCTTGTCCTTGCCCACAGACCTAGACATAAATCTGTCCCAAAAGTGCAGCAATATCCATTCCATCTTCTATGCTGCTGAAGATTCATTCTTCCTTAAAGTATCGGGGGATTTATTAATACTAGTACGTTACCCAATAGAAATGCAAAGGATTAGAAATTGCATAGCTAATTTCAAAAACAAAACAGTAACATTTTGTTTGGAAAATAAATCAGAATTCATAGAAAGGAAATGTTCCTGCACCACTGAACTGCATGTTGCACTTTGAGTTTTCCTGCTTTGAACTTCAATATATCTTGGCTGATCTCTTGCAGTGCTTTTTCATCTCTTTTATCTCAAGAGAGGGAATGAATAACAGACAATTGTGCTCTTCAGGGAACAGAAAGACTCGCCCTTTCACAGAGGCTTGTTCTACAGAGGGGTTTAATCTCCCCTGATGTCACTGGAAGGGTGACATGAAAAGAGATGCTCCCTGGCATGCTCAGCCAAGTGGATTGTAAAGCACCTTATTTCTGCTGAAGCAGGAGTTCACTGACAGGATTGCTACAAGAATTGCTGTTGTGCAGTACAAGCTCCTCTGCACTGTTACTCTGCACCTCGTGGTGCTGCTTTCCTGCAAAGTGACGTGAAAATCCATCCAGTGGAGATTTACATCCACTTTGTATATATGTGAGGGATCACAGAGGGTAAAGTACAGCTGACAACCTGACCAAGAGCTGGACAAATGTTTATAGTGCTATTAAGAAAACATCTACATCATTTAAACTCAGCTGGCAGTAAAGTGCTTTTGTGTAGATCTTACTTTGTTACGACCCATTGACTATGATTACTTTTTAAATATGAAGATTAAATCTGATGCCTGCTCACATGCTTGTATTTTTACAATTATATTCATTTTTTTTGTCTTTTTTATAGAGATTGAAATTACCAGGTCATTTATATTTGCATTTTTGCATTGAATCAGCTTGCAATTTCTTTGATGACACCAGCACATCTCTGGAAACATCAAAAGAGCATACATGTGTAGTGGCAGGAGAGATCAAAATGAGCACAAGGACTCAGAATTGTTGGTAGATGCTACTAATGGGAATAAAGTCCACAGCTTCTTTTATATTATTTTGTGAAAACAAATGGTTGAGTGAAGAATGAATTTGAGAAAATTTGCTCAAATTCTTTTTCCCTTTCTGGAGTTATGACTGAGCTTGTGCCATGTGTTTTGACATACATAAATGCCTTTCAGGTCAAAAAAAAGTGTGTGCTTTGCAACCTGAGGATTTTTTCATTCTGTCCTTATTTCCTTCATTGTTTACAGTGACATGTGAGCATTTTTACTTCTTTTTTGTAATCCTTATCCACTTTTTTTTTTTTTCCTTTGGTCATAAAGCCAGAGATACCACAAGGCATGCCATGCCTCACGATTTCAGTCAGGTGGAGACTGTGTGATCAGTGTTTCTGTGGCCACACTGCACCCAGTCAAGGACATTTGAATGACTCCTGAAAGTCACCTGTTGGCAGAGCTGTGAGAATGTAGTATCAGGGGATGTTGGCATCTTGATATGCCAAATCAGCAGAATGGACCCTAAACAGAGGACAGGCTCTGGAGAGTCACAGTTGACACATTTTCATTTACCTTTGGTTTTATTTACACAAACTGAAGGATGAAATTTCAGCATGATCCCATAAAATCAAAGAAGTTATTCCAGAAGCTGGACTACCTCTTTACAGAGCTTAACCATACGTCTGCATGCAAGATATGCAATGGGCAAATAAGTGGGCAAATTTCTAACATAGAATTTATTCTTCCTTTTAATCATGCTGAGATCCTTGGATATTTTACTTACAGAAGTTTTATACATGACCCTTAGTTTTAGCCATGCCTTCCTTTCAGCTCTTCTTTTAACCTAAGGGACTGACTGAAGACAGATAATTAGATGATAGTTCCTCCAACCATCACATGTTTTCCTATTCCCTGCTTCAAGCTCTGAGGTGGGTTTAACAGAATTTTTCAGCTGTAAAACAACAAGTGAGGAAACAGTTAAAGTTACACTGCCACTGCTTCAGTGTAATACTTAGTAGCTCTGGTAAACATTAATTACATATATAAACTCTGTTCAATTAAATAGAAGAGATTAATATGGTTTCTCTTGGAAACCAACTGAGAAAATAAATAAAGTTGCCAGACAAGCCGATTAAGTTTTTAGTGGAGATTAGCAAGCTTGGCTTTCCCAGTACTTGCTTACAGTTCTGTACCATTTAAAAATGCAATTTATTTGGGGTTTTTCTTTTGTAAAATGATTACAGCCTCATGTATAGGAAACACAAAGATTTAGTGCCCATCCCAGTAAGGTATTGGTAGAGATGCAAATTCCCTCTGTCCTATTCCATTTTCACTACCAGCCTACTTATTTTGCCACACACAGAGTAATAAAAAATTACATAATTGCTCAAAGAAATTAGAGAAAAGTACATTTTTGGAGTGAGAAAATGGTTTGGATAGCCCTTGGATCTTACATCTGGACTGCTCTAAAATAAAAAATCATTGATTCTTCTTTAATTAGAAGTTATTTTTCTCCTCAGACAACTGCTGTATCTGATACAGAGCCCATGCAAACATTAGCAGAAGCTAATGAGTTAAAAATTAAAAATGTGTTGGAGTCACTAGGTCACAAAAAAAGGCCCCATGCTCTGCTTTCTGTGGAATATTAACCTTGAGGTATAATGTAGTTAAACACGACTGAACAGCAAGTTGGCTAATTCAGAGCTAAATTTCACCCTACCACTGAAGACATTTTCCCCAATATCCAACATAAATCTACCCTGGCTGTGTTGAATTATAATCATTAATGTTACACTATTCTGAAACAGGACTCGGTGCAAGATCTAGCAGCTAATTTAAATCCAAGCTTCTGAGTAACTTTGGCTACAATTCTTGCACAAGTAAAAGAAATAATACATGTGAATCTCTCTTAACTTCATCTCTGGACTGTGTTATGCCTGTTGTTACTATAAGCTGTACTGCAAAAAAAGAGATGAACATCTAAGTGTGGCTTTTTTAGAGGTAATGTAAAAATTACATCTATAAAGATGAATTTAAATACAAACTTTTGATTGATTCCATTGAACCCACATCCCTGTATAATTTCACTAGCCTTTACCACCTTGTTCACAAAACTGATTGAAAACAATGAAATGTAAAACATGCTCTTTGATTTGCACAAGGATCTGAGAGAATTGTTTCTGAGACCTCTTGAAAGCTGCTTTATTTAGAGGTCATCCAGCCAGGATGGATGTATAACATATAAAATTATATTTTAGGAGACTCAAGTAACATTTGTGAACAGAGAATTTTCTAAACAATAGCCATTTGTGAGCTGTGACTCCATATGGCTTGATAAGTTCATATGGAATATCTGGTGCATAATGAAGAACAGATAAATTTATAGCTGGAGTAAATCAGTGCAGACATACTAACTGCCATAGAACAGCAGGTTAAGGCAAGTGCAGGACTTGGCTTCAAATTTGAGAAAGGGAGAGAAAAGGAAAAACCTTTTCTTGAGGATAGTTCCTGTAATTATCACCAGCAGACATCCCCGGGTCTCTAAGCACAGAAACTACTGCTAAGCATAAGAAACTGAGCATAAGGAGAAATCCAATGAGAGCCATAAATAAAGACATTTCTAAAGAAATGGACCAGAACACTTCCATTCACTGGGCTGTTTTTCTGTAAGAATATTCAGCAGATAGCACTTTTCTCTATCATATCCCGGCTCCCCATGACTGCTCACCATGATACCCTCATGCCTTTTTCAACCAGAGCCTTAGACAGCAGCAAATTTGTTTGATTAGCTCCATTCACCCATTGCCTCCAATCCCACAGGCCTGTGGTCTTCTTCCAAAGGTCTGTAGAAATTACCTGAGCAAATAAAATCAGCTAACAAATGTGTTTGCACATTGCTTTTAAAAACCTCAACAAACTGAAAAACAACAAAAAACTCCAACCCAAGTTTCCAGAACATTTCCCAAAATAACTACAGGGCAGTTTTATGGCAAATATGAATGCTCTCATCTGGTCCTGAAAACTAACATTTCCTGTCTTTGTCCAGGACTGAAGAGAAAAATATGTTGACATAACAGGTCAATGGGTCTAATCTGAGGAGTCATGATTGAATTCTTGGTAAATACTGGATTATGGAAATAAAATGAATTTGCAAATGCACTTGAAGCCATTATTTTACTGATAAATGGGCTTATCACAATACTTTTCCTTGGATTATGTGTGAAAACTTCCATTAGCATCATCTTCTGACACTCTCCTTTCAGAAGGTAGCCAAGATTTCGCACCCAAACAGCTGCACCTTTGGAGGTCCCAATGCAGTCTTTTTTGGGTTTTTTTTTTTTTAAACCCAGGCACCTACAGTCTGAGGAGTCCTATGGGTGAGTTCCCAGGGCTCCCCACAGCATGTGGTGGGGCAGTGACACTCATCCTCTGTGCTTGTCCCTGCAGGAAGCCTCGTGTGCCTACGTGCTCATCGTGACTGCTGTGTACTGGGTCTCTGAAGCAGTGCCTCTTGGGGCAGCAGCCTTGGTTCCTGCTTTCCTGTACCCTCTCTTTGGGGTCATGAAGTCCAGCGAGGTCAGACCGTTGTGTGCTTTTATCATTTAATGTCCTTGGTCTCAGCTAATTATCTGAACGAGGCTGATCTTAGTGCAGCAGCAAAGACTTGGAGGTATGGGAGGCAGAAGTGTATATTCTGTAATGTGTAACTGGGTCCCACCAGCCCCTTCTTCATCTGAAGACAGATATAGGATGTGAGATATGAGATAGGCTACAATAGCCAGGAGAGGTGTCCATCCTTTCAGCTCCTGCATCACCAACAATTACCAACACCTATTGCACCAAAGGATCCCGCCTCTGCCCTCCTCAAATCCATGTGAACAGCACCCACAGGATACGCTGTCAAGTTTCCTTCCAATTTTATTTATTTATTGTGGACACATATAAGGCAAGAGGCTACATATGCTAAAACAAATTACCGTTTACTGGAAAAAACTAGATAATTTTGTTACCCAGGTGAATATCTAGCCTTTTTTCAAAGCTGTAACCTACTGCTGCACTGTAGCCATGAGTTCTCAGGCAAAGGAGAAGCTGTACGGAAAAGTCTCTATGATCAATCCTGAATTTGCTTACTTGAGGTTTTTTTGAATGTTAATTTGTTTCAATATATGCCAAGAATTTCTTTTATTTTCTCTGCTACTTTTTTCCCCTGCCTTTTTCTATCTCTTTTTGGGGGTAAAGGGACAGCACTTTTGATTTAAGGATGAGTAATGCAGATAAGAATGCAGAGGAATATGTGGCAAACATAAAAGTGTTTGATTTCTCTCACAATCTAGCACTGGGAATATCCATAAATGGATAGAAACAAGCATGAGCCGAGAGTTTAATGACTGCTTATTCCCCCGAGTTTTGCAATAAAATGAGATACATTTTCATACCAACACAATTCAGTATTTTCACAATCTTTTTTTCCTAACATAAAGGTAAAGTAGTTGGGCATTTTCATTAAAAATTTGGCACCACATTGGAGAAGGAAATTTAATGTCAGCCTGAGAGAAATTCAATGCAATAGCAAATAAAGTGACAGTAAGACTACTGCAAAGAATGTATTATTTGCTTTAGGAACAGAAATAAGTCCCTGCATTCAAAAATAAACAACTCAGAAGCATTATTTCCAGTCTGCTGTTCTGGATTGACTCTTGCCTAGAAAATTACTACTATTTAAGCTACAAATTACTCACAGGGGCTTAAGTGCATGAACCAGTGTGTCATATATATGTATGTGGGTATTAATGAGACTATTAGCATTCACTTATTTCTCCAAAATGGCTTTGAAAGGAATAAAGGAGAAAAAAACCCAGATTCTTCATGCTGCTGGTTTGATTGATTTCCTTCATTCACCTCATTATTTTTTGAAAAGGTAGAAGGAAAATAAAGAAAGTTAATGAGAAAGAAACCAGTGGAAGAAAGCCAAAAAGGTGATATTTAAAAGTTCTGGACACAATTATGATGGCCGAGTCTATTTAGTTACCATAGGGATTTATTAAAGAAATAAGTGTCAGTGAATATATAACTTGTTGCAAATTTCACAAAATAACATTATTGTCATTCTTGCATTTTATGGAGGAGCATCAGTATAACTGAGGACAATGGAAAAAATTATTGTTTCCTCTGATCTTAATAATTTTAAAATGCTGGCACCTACATTTCATTAAATAACTGGTTTTGAACTGAAGAAATGACTTTTTTTTTTAAATATTCCAGCAACAGCCTAGGAAGGATTGCATCGAAATGAAATGAAAAATTTTGCTAGACACCAAGCATCTCTTTGTAATTCTTATTTTCTCCCATTTTGTTTGTTTTTACGGAATTATGTGTGTATGTTTGAGTAAGAATTTTATGGTTTGCTTAATTTGTCATTTTTGCCGTTGCTTCACAGAATATCTTCTCATATTTTAGCAAGATCCACATCCACAATTCCTGCTTTGGAGGTGGTGTCTAAATATTTTCCTGAGCCAGTGATGGTTTTTGCTCATTGTCTTTAAATTAAAGTTCTCATTCTTGAAACTTTTCCCTCTTTTCCTTATAAAATGGAAATGGATTTCCAAGGTGACAAGTTTTGATGCAGGATTTGTGGTTCACTGCAGCAATACACCAACCCTTTTTTATTGCTCTCAAAGAGCAAGTCCCAAAGGACTTTTATTCTGATGCAGGAAGTCCCAAGGATGCCACGTTTTTCCCAAAAGCTGAACAAGACAGAATAAGTATAGGCAAGATAGACAACAATACCTCCAGAATGAAAAAGCAGATGAAGCACGTGAATAAGCTGCCTTCAGTGCTCTTTTGTCTGTGCTTGTTTCCATCTGAGCCTAGCTGAGTATGAATGACTCACTGCAGGCACTGAACATCCTGCTTGCAAATATAACATTTCTCTTGATCTCTTCAAAACTCAGAAGCCTATAAACAATAGAAGATAGAGCTTTATTTGTAAGCACAACAAGAGAGAGCTTAAAGAGAATATTTTGATTTATGAATTCTTTGTTTTCTCCAGCTCCCTGTCATTCTTACTTGAGGGAGCAAAAATGCACTATGCTATATTTCTTCTCATTCAGCATGCTTCCTGTGTAGGGTATTTACTGCTTTTTTACCTGGCTGCTTCTCCCTGGCCCTTAATGCAGGTGGCTGCTGAATATTTCAAGAACACAACTTTGCTCCTCATGGGTGTGATTTGTGTGGCAGCTTCTGTAGAAAAGTGGAATCTCCACAAGCGAATTGCCCTGCGCATGGTGATGATGGCTGGAGCCAAGCCAGGCATGTGAGTGAACCTTTGGCTTTGGGGTAGTCTGAGGCTGAGAGCAGCAGCTTGAAACCACTCTGATCTTCCCATCCATGGGCAAAATCTGCCTTGGTTTGGGACATTTTTCATACCCATCTTTCAGACTTTGACAGCTTACAAATCTTCCCCTCCTTTTTCTGCCACCTCCGACTTCCCATGTTTCCCGGTTCTGCACTCCAGGTTGCTCCTTTGCTTTATGTGCTGCACCACGGTGCTCTCCATGTGGCTCTCCAACACCTCCACCACAGCCATGGTGATGCCAATTGTGGAGGCAGTGCTCCAGGAGCTGGTGAATGCTGAGGAGGAGTGTGAGGTCATCACGACTGCAGGCAGCACCATTGCTGAAGAAAACAAGCCAATAGGTATTTGTCAGTATTGGCATTCACTCTTTTCTCATTTGTTTGTCAATGACCAGACTTGTTTATACATATTATTGAAATTCTATCGAGGTCAGATCTGTCTGACTTACATTGCTAAAACCGCTGATATGTACTCTTCCTTTTCGTATTCTGATATTCCCTTCAAAAAATGAAAGGAAATTTTAGAAGAGATGGAAGAATAGGAGTTGGGAAACTTTATACTGAATCAGGGCGTCTGCTGTAGCTGTGTGTCATAAACTCTTGGTCGCAGGATTTTACCGAATTGGAAGGAAACCTTCGGGAATAAAGTCCAGGAAATTTAGAGGTTTTCTCTTGACAATCTCATAATAAAAAATTTATAAGAGCTCTAAGGTTCATTTTGTTCATTCCTTCCCAGAAGAAGAAGGCTTAGGAAGAAAAGAATCTCTCTTTTCTCTCACTTTACAGTTTCCAGGCTGAAAATTATTTCATCCAATCTTGTCTATTACATGTATGTATCATAGTCTTTTAGTTGCCAGATGCACGTGATCAGTGCAATGCAAAATAATAAAATGCCGCATCAAGAGAACACCTGAGAGTGTTTGGACACGCTTTTGTTAGCAGCAGCTCCTCCAGGTGCAGAGGTGTGAGCCAGGGGCTCAGCTCAGTTCTTACCCCAAGGGCTGCTCTCTGTTCCTCTGTTGCAGGTCTCGGTGAAAAGCACGGCCAAGCTTCACTGGAGCTTATCTTCATCAATGAGGAGTAAGAATGAACCCTGTACACCAGGACTGGACATTTGAGCCCTACACAGGTTGCAATGAGATGAACCCAGGAGTAGAGCCAGGAAGGGCAAGCAAAACCTTACAAGTGAATGTGTCACATGTGACTGACAAGGAAGGCTTACATGATAAATGGGATAAATGCAATGGTCTGGATCTCAGTAAAATTTTGCAGTATTCATTTATTTCTTAAAACTATGGATATTTTAGGGAGAAGGAAAATATTTCAAGGGATTTGAAAGCTCTTTTGAAATCTGAGTTTGTGCTGTGTAAGAAAGTGCTGTCCACAGGTTTTTATTCTGTTCCCCTGAAGGAACAGTGATGAAGAGGATCCAATTACAGCACAGGCTGCCCACAGGACATATCCAGAGGGACATCACTTACAGAGCATTCCTGAAGAAAGTCTGAACTGCCTGCATTCAAGAGAGATGAGAGTGGAGGGCAGGGGGACGTGGGGGGAGGGAGAACCCACAAAAAAACACCCCTCCTCCCCTACAAAATTTGAAGAAGATTTCTTTAAATATAGACTAATTTCTTCAGAGATTTGAAACACCAGTAGTTTATATTTGGGGAAGAATCTAGTGGGGGAAAGGTATATCAAGTAAAGGAATAATTTCTTTGTCAAATTATCTATTCAAGACATCAAGGCATACAAGACAGTATACAAAGCTAATGTTCCAAAAATTTATTATAGGCCAATACTGAGGAGCATCTTATGAAGTGCAGGAATGAAATTGCACAGTCCTTTTTTGAGCTCCTTCTGTATTGTTTGCAACTGCTCAAAATAAAAGAGAAACAAGTTTATTTAAGTTTATTATACACAGTTTTATTATAAACCGGTTGATGACTTTAAGTTAACTGGCAAGATTTAAATAGTTTTCTCATTAGTCTAGAGACTATTTGGTTTCTCCAATATTCCCTCTGTTATCTCTTTTTATCCCAGCCATATTTTCTATGCAATATAGAATCAAATCCTCAGGTCGGCATTGTGCCATTAATCCCTTTAACCCCTATCAAAGAGTATATGTGGGATATTTCAAACAGAACTATTATTAAAATAGGATTACTTGAAAAAGAGCTTTGAATTCGGCAGGAAAAGTAGTACATCTTCTGGAAATAAGTTCAATGGATTGTTTGCATGATCCACATGCCACACAGGGCAGGTTTTAGGGAAGGCCTAAATGTGGTACAGGTAGGTACTCAGAAATGGCATTGGAAAAGTTGGCAGAGGAAGAACTTGACTAGAAGAGACAGCAATGGTGCTGGATTGCCTGGTGATTCGCTCCACAGAGAATGAAGTCCTGTCCTAGAATGCATTAAATACTACCAAGAAAATAATTTTTTCTTGCATGGAGGTAGAACTCCACTGTTACGCAGCTAGAGATTGAGCTATGAAATATAATAATGACTTACTTTTTGGCCAAGAGCCCACATAAGAGGTTCTAGTAAGTGGTATTCAGCATTTTAGTAGACACTAGTTCTCCTGCAGATGTTGCCCCTCCCACCCATGATGTGTGCTTCTTGCAGAAGCTGGATGAACAGGCTTTTTTAAAGCATATTTTCCTTTCTTTGTTTTTAGTGCTACTACTACAGACTTCAGCTCCTTGATGCACTCAAAGGTATTGTCATAGGTGGAATCTTCTGTGTTATGCTGTCTCCTAGTGCAGGAACCAGCAGAGCAAAATGCACGCAGCTCTGAAAAAAACTGCTGATCCCTTTATTTCAAATGTATGGTGGTTGTTGGGAGAAATTAGGTATTGCAGAATGTCCTGCTTTGTGTTTAACCTGTCAGCCTGCTTGCACAAATCAATTGGGGAACATTAGCTCCATAACAGCAGCAACAGAAGTACAAAACAATAGATGTCTGTTGTACTCCTTGCTGGAGATCCTGAGATCCAGTCAGAGAACTTACAATTCCATATGGTTTCCAGCAAATTCAGATATGATCTTTTGTTGTTCCGGTATTGCCAACTTCTGAAGCTGAGAATTCTCAAGTTGCTGCAGCAGCCTGTACATATCACAAAATCACAGGCTCAAGGGACCTGTTAGTGTCTACAACATGACAGAGCAAGACCTAATCTCAGCATAATTTGACTTTAAAATCACTTTAAAATAAAATTTAAAAAAAAAAAAAGCAGGAGGTTTAAACTTTTTTTCCCCAATGTAAAATTGACAGCTGATATTAGTGGGTTGGATTTTCTTGTAGTTTTGGAGCCTTTTTTAATTTTTCCTTGTTTGTCCCCAAAGCCTGCCAGCCAGTACCTTTACAAAGCATCCCAAATTCACAAGTGCCCCTAGGAAAACAAGAAAGGCTAATCCAAAGGTATTTTCCTCCTTGCAGAGTATGAATGGTGTGCACATGATAGCCAACCCTATTGGAACAATGAATTCTACAAGCAATGGGCAGCACCTACCTCAGGTAAGGAAATGTTAGACTGGGGGTGAGGCAAAAGACAGATGTGACTATCACCTGCTCCCTACTGTTTCATATTTGTTCCTTGAAAGGAATCATTCTCCATTGTCTCAGCTCAGCCACAGCTTGGTCCTTTGCCAGTTGTTGCACACAGCAGAGGTGTGTTCAGAAAACCCTTCCCCAATGGCTGGGACAATTCATTTAGCTTTACATCCACTAATGTGATCATGAGTTTCCTTTATTATTTGACTGTAATAGCCACTTTGTTTCTGCAAAGCCTCATTGGAAAATAGCCTAACTCAAAAATAACAACCCCTGGCACAGAAAACCCTACTCAGAATGAAAAAAGCAGACCATTAATCTGTTCAGCCACTTTGTTAGGTACTCTTAACGTCCACTTCCTTTTTGTCTTCCAAAATATCCAGCCTCAAAATCCTCCATTAAATCAATTCATTCCAGAATTTCTACTACTCTCGAGGGGATCCAAGAAGAGATTGCTGTTTGGATGACAATTTTGTAGTGTCCTAACGGCATAAGTTTATGTCCATGAAAGAAGAGGCTAAAATCAACACAAGAATTTGCATTCACAGTTCAAAAATAAATCAAAATAAAAATTGGTAAATGTAACAAATCTTTCTGAACCACTTGCTATCTTTTTCCTCATTCTTAAATTACAGGTTGCATGAGAACTGCCTTGAGGTACTGTACATTTTTTCCCAGTATAAGGACTTCATCTACCAACACAGACATTTCCTGTGACTGATGTGAAAGCTTCTTTTGGAGCAAAGTTTTCTGGCATCTTTTCCTTCTATATTCCCATTGCACAGCCTTTTGCATTCCATTTTGAGATTCCCCAGCACTCCATTCCTAATTAGAGGCCCTGAGCTGGTTTAAGTGTGAAAAGTTCACCAAGCATTTGTGTGGTGGCTGCTCTAAGCCTCAAGGATTATGGATTCCTTCTGCTCAATGCTGGCATCCCGTCCCTGCAGCCCTCAAAGGCTTTTGGTATCCCACTGATATTCCAGCGAGACCTGGAGCTGGCCCAGACCTTAGCCAGAAGTCTGATTACTGCTTATCCTACATTTTTGTCACAGACCAAGCCATTTTAGGCCCTGGGACAAGTTTCCACAACTGATCCCAGTTAATCCCTGTAAAGAAAAATCTGACCTTTCTTGCACAAACCTGTTGCTTCTCTGGGCCCCGTATCACTCTGGCATTAGAGCAAGCTGGGCTGCTGTTCTGATCACCTTCTTTGCTTGTGAATATGTCCCCTCACAGGCTCAGATCCTGGTCCTGCCCCCCGAGCCCTCAGACCTCGGGCTGAGCAGCAGGTATCGGTACCAGAGCAGGCATGACCACATGGTCTGCAAATGCCTCTCGCTGAGCATCTCCTACGCTGCAACCATCGGGGGGCTGACCACCATCATAGGCACCTCCACCAGCCTCATCTTCCTCGAGCACTTCAACAAGTAAGTGGCACTGGGATTTGGTGAGAATCATTATCATCCTTGTGGGTCATTTCCCACCTCAAGGAGCCCTAGGAAGAACACTCTCCATGAAGGAAAATTTACTTCTTTCTCAACTGTAATGTTATTACCAATGGTTAATGTTTGAAGGTTACTACATGCCCATGTCTTTCTCTTACGCAAAGTAAACACTCCTCAGTGTGGGAGCATTGAAGTTTCTCCAGCAACTTCTTTTGGTTTGACATAGTGATTATCATGAAGGCATCAGGCACTCTAGAAAAGTAAACACTAAAGCTATGAAGATAGAGCAAAGAAAAAAAATACAAAAGAAATGTCATAAAAACAGCTGCTCAACATGTAGTGCAAAAAAATCCAGACAACCAACGTAGATATGTGGCCTTATGCATTTGCTTCAGAGAAGATGAGAAACTGCTCTCTGATCACCAAAGTATTTCCTTTATCACAGGCCCAGGGTTCTCAAAGACATGAATGTTTCAATGTCAGAAACATGAATGTTTTTCTGTCAGGAGACTGGTGGCACTTCTCAAGCTCAGAAACACATTCAAGCTCAGATCTGATTCTGACCATCTTCTGCTACCACTACTGCCTTGATATCTCTCATTTCTCTCTCTTAAATGATGGTAGCACAGAAGACTAAGTTCAGAAGTCATGCTTAATCCAAGGATTTGGATTTTACAGAATTTTCCAAGATCTTGCTTTTATGACAACTGCACCAAATGCACACATCCAACATCTTTGTCAGAGTAGAGCAGAATGTAGTATTTTAGTATCAATATTTGTGTGGCCCATAAGAAAACACAGAAAGAGGTTCTGGGTGAAAACATTCTGAAGACTGCCAGCCCTAAAAGGGGCTTTAATATAAACCACAGGTAGGGATGGAGTTTCACTTCAGGTATCTCCAAGTCTTTTTGAAGCTGTCCAGACAATCTAGACCATCTGGTGTTAAAGGTTTGGAGAGCTACACTGTTTGTCTGTTGGTTTCACTCTGCACAGGTAATGCAGCTGTTTGCAAATGCAAACTGATGGAATTTTTCTCTCACCCCATGACAGATAAATATGCCCACAGATGTGTTTGCAACTACATCTGTTGGAGGTCCCTGTCCCTGTACTGTTCTAACTTCTCATGAATCCTCTTTTTTAATTTACAGCCAGTACCCAAAAGCTGAAGTGGTGAATTTTGGAACCTGGTTTCTGTTCAGTTTCCCCATCTCCCTCATCATGTTGGTGCTGACTTGGTTCTGGCTGCACTGGCTGTTCTTGGGCTGCAAGTGAGTGAAAGTTGTTCAAGATATACAGATTGCAAAAGCAGGGCATCTGCAGCTCCTCTCAAACGTTCTCATAAGGAAGTTTTGACTGGCAAATGACAAAATTTAAGGCACAATTTCCTTCTTCTTGCCAGAACAATTACCAGGGGAAATCTCACTGTTTAGCTGCCCTGAATAGACAGTAGTGTAGAGTATTGCTGCTTGAGATTGAAGTGCCCAGGTATTGCTGATGGAAATCCATACTAAGCATTCAACTGGTTTGGGGTTTTTTTCACTCTTATGACAATGAAGATTCCCTTGTAGACCAAATATCTTGTTATAAGTCCTTTTGGAAAAGCACAGTTTAAAAGATTAATAGAAAAAAACTGCAAGTAAACAAGTTACTTTTCAGATCTGCCTCCAGTTCAATTAAATTAACATAAAACCAATCAAAACTAAAGGTAAATAGACTCCATATATATTTCCCTTTAAGGTGGAAGGGACTCACAGCCCAAGAGACAAATACATTTAATACCAGTCCCTAAGGCCCAAAATAAGAAAAAGTTTCAGTCTTCTAGTCCATTTGTACCACATATTGTCTTTACAAAGTTAATGAAAACTGCCAAATGTGTGCATTTAGAATGACTTTGTTAATCTGCATTGAATTGTGATGCAGACACATTTACTCTGAATTAAATTTGCTTAATTTGATTTAGTTCACTCTTAAAAGTAAACTGAATTGAAATCATTACTTCACCCAGGACAATGAATAAATTGATAATGAGTTCTGCTTGCTGCTGACCTTGACTAGATTTGAAGAAGTAATTTAGAGGTGAATGGCTCCATGCCCCTCTCAGTCAGTCTCTGAGTCTTACCATTCCAAATTAAAAGGCTAATATAAATTCCCTCTGCCACACTTTTTTTAATCTTGAGAAAAACAGGTACTAACATGACCCTCAATTAATTTGGTTTGGAAAAAAATTGAAATTCCACGTTGCATCCAAGACTTCATGCTGATTAATGTTGTTCTAAATAATACCAGAGACTAAAGCATTATTGACTTTTTGAGAAGTACTAGTTGATTCCAAGGCTCCTTAATCTCTTACTTCTATTCACTGCACTTCATTAAAGAACATATTATGTTGGGAACTGGGCTTCAATTCTCTGCCTTCACATCCTCCTGAGCCTGGAAACACTTGGAATATGTTGAAACAGCTGCCTAATGCTTCTGCATAAATGTTTAATAAATTCCTGTAATGTTATTTTCCTAGGAAGCCCTGTGCCATCAATCTGTTATTGCTTGGTTTAGCTGGAATAGTATTTCAGATTTTAAGGCCCTAGACCAGGTCAAGGGTGAAAGAGAATGGACTCATCAAAGGATCATTGCCAGCAAAGAAGAGCTAAGGGTGGAAGTTACTACAGAACTGCCCCTTATAAACCATATAGCTCATCCCTTCCAGCCTGGAGGGCTCTTCCAGCCTCATCCCTCCCTACTGGTAGATCTAACAGCAAGATTTGCAAGGAAATTTAAAATATCTATAGATAAAGAGCAACTCTAAGCGAGCTAAAAAAACGTGTTACATATTTGCCCATGTGAAATGCAACCCCTGGTTAAGTCCTTCTGTTGGCCAGGCAGGGCCTGTCTAGGTCTTGAGCAATGTGAATTCCTTTGTGAGTCTGGTCTTAAGCAGATACACTGAGGGAGATTGCAGTCCATGGTTTGGCCAGTGCTACAGCTTGGGTGCCTAGTGAGGTACCCAATGAGATATTGAAATAGCAGGAACCATAAAAGCACCTATTATCACCTTAAAAGTTGTGCTGCCTGAGTCACTGCTGCTGCGTCTTATAGCCTGGCTTAGATCCTGTTACACCTCTGTGTGACAGAGAGTACAGCTGGAGTGAAAAAGGAGGAATCTGTGGCTCAAAACACAGCTAGGTAACACTTCTGGAAAGAAGAACAGGAGAGGGTTAAAGTGAGCTTGAAAGCATCTTAATTTCAATTAAGAATGTCCATGCTTTCTTACAGAATGAAGGAAAACTGAATAAACTATGGGATTCACTTAACATCCATACAAGTGTATAGGAGGCTCAATATATCTAAAATATCTATAGATGAAGAGCAACTCTAAGTGAGCTAAAAAAACGTGTTACATATTTGCCCATGTGAAATGCAACCCCTGGTTAAGTCCTTCTGTTGGCCAGGCAGGGCCTGTCTAGGTCTTGAGCAATGTGAATTCCTTTGTGAGTCTGGTCTTAAGCAGATACACTGAGGGAGATTGCAGTCCATGGTTTGGCCAGTGCTACAGCTTGGGTGCCTAGTGAGGTACCCAATGAGATATTGAAATAGCAGGAACCATAAAAGCACCTATTATCACCTTAAAGAGCTATAAAAGTTGTGCTGCCATGGTGCCTGAGTCACTGCTGCTGCGTCTTATAGCCTGGCTTAGATCCTGTTACACCTCTGTGTGACAGAGAGTACAGCTGGAGTGAAAAAGGAGGAATCTGTGGCTCAAAACACAGCTAGGTAACACTTCTGGAAAGAAGAACAGGAGAGGGTTAAAGTGAGCTTGAAAGCATCTTAATTTCAATTAAGAATGTCCATGCTTTCTTACAGAATGAAGGAAAACTGAATAAACTATGGGATTCACTTAACATCCATACAAGTGTATAGGAGGCTCAATATATCAATCTAGGAAACATGTTTTCATGCTCCTGGCAGAAGTACAGGCATTTTTCACCTGGACAAAACACCAGGCTGACTCCCCTGGCCACTGTGGTGCTTTTCTGGCTGCGCCTGATTTATAAATAAATGTTACTGTGACAGTATGAGCAGAAGCAGACAGATCATGGCAGCTAATGGGATCCCAAGCACAGCTTTCCCTCATTATGAATCCTGAATATTCAAAGCAAATATGGTCTCAAAAGCCAGAGCAGACCCCAAATATGTTGGATAACCCTGATCCAGGAAAGCATAGTTAGCCCATGAAACATTTCTATTGATAGCTGACCTCTGTCACAATCTCTCCATGTGATGACAGACACTAGCTGTAGCTTTGGGAGGTTTCTGGCAGCTCTTTGAGGGAGCCTACGTTGAGGGAGCCCAGCCATGGCTCAAGATGGCTCAGTGATACCAATCAGTACAAGTCAGAGCACCCTGGGGACCTTCCAACTATGTCTAGAATTGAATATTACAAGAACTTGAAACCAGATTAATGAAATAGCACACGCAGTATTTTCCTTTCCTGTTGCCATCACGCCTTGCTTCAGTCACATCTTCTCCCAACAGTCCCTGATACCAGAATTTTCAGTCTATCCCATTGCTGGGGGTTTTTTAAATTACTTTTTCCCCCCCTCATTATGCCCTTGCCTAATTTTATTGTGCTATCTCAGTTTTAAAGAGACTTGTTCTGTGAGCAAGAAGAAGAAGACCAAACGGGAAGAAATGTCAGAGAGAAGAATTCAAGAGGAATACAAGAAACTGGGAAATGTTAGGTAAACCAGACTTGCCTTCCTTGGGAATTTGTCTCTCATTGTCTCCTACTGCCCTCCATGTTGCCTTGGGCTCATGTAGTTTATTCTAAAACTCTCAGCTCTCTTTCCTCCTCTCCAGTATAGAAATAGAACAAAATGCAAAAATGAACTAAAATCAAAGACTTTGTTACAAGCATGTGTGCTAACATGCAACTCATTTATTTCTGAGGAAAAAGGGAAAATAAAGGAAAGATTTGAGTTTATTGCAGCTTTGTCTTTGAACCCTAAAGGACCCCTTATCCTAATTCAGAATCATACTTATTTTAGTGGATATAAGTTCAAAAAAGGCTTTTTCCCATGCCATGGGTTGTCCAGCTTTCCCAGTTGCCCATGCTATTTATGCACTATGGCAAGAAAATCTTGAAAAGATTATTTGGCAACATTTTCATTTTCAAAAGGGCTGATATGGCACAGAATTCCTTCTTCACAAAATATTTTTGTGCTGTTTGACTGAAATATTGACAGATCAACTGCCTGAATACAATAAGCTCTGAAAATAAACTGTTGTTCAAGCTGTGCCTAAAAATGAAATCACTCTTAATTTAAATCTATGCTAAATTAAAAATCCTCAAGCCACCTCAAGTATCCTGAAGTCACCTTGTTTGCACCGTCTGTGCTAATTTGTCATTTGCTCTTAGGCTTTCTATCCTTCTAAAAAATGCAAGAGAATGTGTTTACAGTGGAATGCTAATATGAACCTCACCTTGTTAACACATTTAATCAGATAATAATGCAAATATAAAACAAGCATTTAGAAATATTTTCCTTCAGGTCTTGCCCATGAATGATAGCATTGCAAATACAGATGGATATTTTTAGCCTATTTCTTACTGGATTTAGATGGTTCCCAGCTGGGAGCCAAATCTAGAATTCTTTAAATCAAACTAATCTTCCTTGCTATTTTTCATATGCTTTTTATCCTTTTTTGAAGTCAGTTTCTACTTTTTTACTTCTTCTGGAACTTGCTCTTGAGTTTTCAGACAGACTTTGGAATTACTTCCTTGCTTTCTCTGTTTTTTATTTCTAGCTATCCCGAGATGGTGACTGGATTCTTCTTCATCCTGATGACCTTGCTTTGGTTCACTCGTGAGCCTGGCTTTGTACCAGGATGGTCATCTTTTTTTGAGAAGTGAGTAAAATCCCCATAACTACTGCACAGGAATACAACTTTGCTTCTTATGACTTTCTACAACAATTTTTTCCCACTTAGACATCATCAGACACATTTAACAAGGCAGTGAAAAATGGAGTCTTTATTCAAAAATTAGGATTTTTTTTTCTTAAATTATATTTTTTTGTACAGTGAAAAATTCCATTCTTTCTCAGTATTTAAAGTGAATTAAGTAGAGAAAGTAAATTAAACCATTACAAATGTAAAAGAATAGGAGGGTCAGATTTTGAGCTTAAAACATTTTAGAACATTCATAAAGAAGTTTTCACTAGAATATATTGCAGTGATAATTGAAATTAAAATTTTTGACAAAGTGTTTTATCAAGAAATTGTCCATTCAATTAAATATTGCTGAGAATGGTGACTAAAGCAAATAATTTTTCTTTTATTTTAAATAATATTGAAACAAATTATATTAAAGCTTACTATAACACACTTTGCACATCAAAGAATAAGTGATTTGAATGTAAGTTTTCTTTATACTGCCACTATATAAAATTACTTTAAGTTTTCATTCAAATTTTGACAGAAAAACAATTTCTAATACTGTGATTTTCTGATGATCACTGGAGTTTGGTACTCTTCAGAATATTTTTACAGAAAGAGTTTTAAACATTTAATTTAAAATCAATCTACAGTTAATTTCTAAATGATCATCTGGGTTTGGCTTTTGCCTAGAATGTGTTTACTGTTTCTTACACTACAGTAAACACACTATTTTTTGTACCTCAATGTTAATAGATTTGTAAACCAAAAGGGATTTTTTTTCAATCAGAATATTTAAAATTGTTGAGCTGTGATTGAAGTTGCCTACCAGAGTCAGTTTAATAAATGGAAAAAATCCAATTTGTACTCTTGATATGCAGGCATATTTTTCTAGTAGGCTGTTAGTATGACTTCAGATGAGGGAATACAACTGTACCTGCAGAAATGTGCTTGGAGCTATGTACCTGGTTTGGCAATGTTTCTCTTAATGTTTTTTATGAAAGCATTGCTATTTATTTCTTAGGAAAGGTTACCGGACTGACGCCACTGTCTCTGTATTTCTTGGGTTTCTCCTTTTCTTGATTCCAGCAAAAAAGCCGTGTTTTGGAAAAAGAAGAAAAGGTGAGGAGAATGCAGTAAGAAAGAGAACTGGTACATTTTTCAATGTCAAGTTGTTTGGTTTTTGCGGGTTTTTTGGCTGTAAAAATTCCAAGAAGATACTTTTATGTTGGAAAGTCAAGGTTCATCTTCTCCTCTGATACCAGCCCATCCTACATCAGATCCCTTTTTCCTTTGCCATAATTCATATTGTCTCATCCAGAGGATGACAAACAGGTCTTGAATCTGAGACTGCCACCTCTTCTGTGCTAGCAGAGTAATTAGACTTTAGGACTGAGGACTGAGCTTTAGGAAAGGTTTAGATGGAGTTCTATATTAAAAAACTATAATGCAAAATCAGCTCAAGATAAACCCCAGTAAAAAATTAGTCATCACTTATACAGTGGAAATCACTGTAATATCTTAAGATAAATATTAAAGACGTCATAGAGTGCCAGACAATGTTCCAATTTTGTGCAATGCTTCTCTCACAGTCTTCTTGATAATGAGATTATTTCACATTTGTGTTTGGGTAGCAATCAGTGGTTTGATCAGTTTGCTGCACCAGTCTTTCAGCAGTGCTGTATGACAGTAGAATTGTCTGCACAGTCTTATGTAAAGATTATAAATATATAGAAACATATATTTTTATGCTGTCATATTTTGTACAGGTTTTAGGAAAATATGACACTCCTCCTTTTAGAAAATACTCGGACCCTAAAAAAACCCTAATGTCCTCAGATGAAATCTAGGGGCCTAAATGTCCTTTATCAAGCATCATGGCCTACTTCATAGCCTTTCTTTGATAACATAATCCCATTGTAACACCACCTCTGTGGTCTACAGATATATGCTCATGCATATCACAACACAGTACACAGTCCCTCAAAAAGCTGTAACATGAGAACACAGGGGTTTACAAGTATTTACATTAACAGAGCAGCCAAGGGAAAGTCAGGATGTTTGGAATTAATACACTGCATTTTGTGAGGCCAGGCTATCCAGAGAAACAGGTTATGCCTCTTTGCCTCTCCCTCAGGTAGTCCCATGCATCTTCAATAATTTCTATTCTTGTCAAAAATGTGAAAGTCTTTGCAAAAAGGGCAGTAAATACTGGTCATACACTTTATTTCATATAGGCGATGGTGAAAAGTCAACAGAAATTAACACACTGGAGCCCATCATTACCTGGAAGGACTTTCAGAGGACCATGCCCTGGGAGATTGTAGTGTTGGTTGGAGGAGGTTATGCCTTAGCAGCTGGATGTAAGGTACTGGTGTAGATTTTTTTTTAATCCTCCTTCCTAAACATATTATTGACCTTTTATTCCTTTGTATGCTCCCCAATTTGGATTTATGATGTGGATACTTTAAATTTTGTACATAATGCAGTAGGCAGCACTCCCTGCACTCAATATATGTCTTTCTTACTATTTATTAAACACTGCAGTGAAATCTAGTTTATTGAGCAAAAGGAAATGCAGAAAGCATTGTCCTGAACTTTGTTTATTTGCTGGTGGGATTCTCTGATGTAAACTGCCACAGAAAGAAGAATCTGTTTGACAAACATACCACATATTTAGTAACTCTTGTGCTTCTGTCCTTTCCCCAGACCTCTGGCCTCTCTACATGGATTGGACGTCAAATGCTCTCCCTGAGTAGCCTTCCCTCCTGGGCTGTAACTCTGCTGGCTTGCATTTTGGTGTCCATGGTAACAGAATTTGTTAGTAATCCAGCAACCATAACCATCTTTCTGCCTATTTTATGCAGTATGGTGAGTTAAAATAGTGATATTTTCAGTCTGTTTTTTCCTCACAGGCTTGTGGGAATTTTCAGGATGTCAGGGTCTTGGCACTTTGTCCACATGAAACCCAGCCTCAGTTCCCAAGCTACTGTTCTGTAGTCTTGAAACTAGGAACGAAAACATAATTGGGCAGCCAAAAGCATATTTTAGCATCATGGAATTTATAAGAAAAGGTGACTATGGAATTAACAAGTTAGGTGAATTTCACATGAAGCATGAGATGCTTTTGTCAATGTTACTTTAAATGTGCTGTTCACTACTTAGTAGTCACCTGCTCCCTACTTGTGAGAAAAGATTGGAGTGCTGAATTTTATTTCAGATTTAGAAGTGTTCAAGGGGTTGATCTGGTAAAACATACTGTATTCCACCATGGAAAGCAGAGATGTTTGTAAGAGTCAGAAAAAAAATGAGGATGCTATTGACAAAGGTAGAAGAAAGACAGAGTAATTTAATTTTATATTGGAATAGCAGTTACAGAAAATTTCCTTTTTTTTTTTTTTTTTTTTTTTTAATCATCTTTCCCTATTATAACTATTTTATGGGATTGTCCCAAAGCACATGAGAACAGTTCTGAGTTAATATTAAGATGTGGTCAGATCACAATATGTAATTGTGTTTCTGTGGCTTAGGAGTTCAGATATGCTTCTGCTCCATGCAGAAAGAGATTCTCCTGAAAAATATTTAGAGCAGTAATCTACTTGTAGTGTGAACTGCCATCTTAAGGCAGACTCTTTTCAGATTGCAAAAGTAACCTGGAGACACTTCCCTCCCCAAAATGATAGTAGCCTTGTTTATCCTTCCCTTTCCCTCTCATATAAAACTCGGCCAAAGCAATGAAAATGGAAAATTTTATCACCACTGAAAACTGCATCTTTAGCACACTGTAAAAAATATTTCATCATCTCTGCCTTCTCACCATGCAAATTGGATCATGAACACCTGGTTCTCTTAACTAGTATTCAGGAGGACATCACATAATGGTCTCAACATATTCAGCAACTGGAAGAAGCAAGTTCTTTGTGTTAACCTGTTGTGACTTCTCATGGATGAAGAGTGAAGCAGCAGTCAGTGTTAAGGTCCACAAGACACAAAACAGAATGACACAGAGAACAAGTGAGAGAAAGCAGCTCAAAATTATGGCATTGCTCTAAAAAATCCAACCAACCAAAAAATACTTTCATGCTTAAGTTTAGAAAATAGGCAGGTGTGATTCAGCAGAGAGGGCCCTTTCATACTCATTGCCAGCTGTGACTTTTATTGATCAGGTGAAACACCTCTCTCCCTCTGTTCTTCCAGTCAGAAACCCTGCTTATCAACCCTTTATACACCCTGATTCCTGTCACCATGTGCATCTCATTTGCGGTGATGCTGCCCGTGGGTAACCCTCCAAATGCCATTGTCTTCAGTTATGGGCACTGCCAGATCAAAGATATGGTGAGTCTTGGCACTGGGTACATCCTCCCATGCTTCATGCAACTCCAGCATGTAATCCCACATCAAGATGATGATGATGATGATAATAATAATAATAATAATAATAGCACTGATGCAATAATTACTATATTGCTGCTAATATTAAGTAGTGATGTCTGAACTGCTCTTACACAATAGAGCTCTCTGATTAAGAGCAACAACAGATCTGCTGTAGGATGCATACACTTCTTATCTGTATTTTTTTAATAAATGTAATGGTCCAAAGAGCTTTAGGAGTATACAATCCTTTTGCTCTGACCTACTAAAACAAGCACAAGAGAGCATAAGAAATTAGATTTATCACGTAGCTCCACAGCAAGTCATGTATCACTCTGTTATGTGGTTTAACTCCCCATTCTGATTATCTGATTGAGAAGTCCAAGTGACAAACTAAGCAGTTCACAATGAATTGCATCGATCTCTAACCTGAATATTCATTCCCGAATACTCCAACATATACCCTGACATATACGCTCTCATTTATGCTTTTTTTTTCCTCTAGAAATCACTATACACAAATTATCACACTCTATACGAGTCAGTATAAATACCACTGCTTTTTTTTTTTTCTCTTTTTTCCCCCCTATGTTAACTGGTTTCATTAAGTTGCTCTGATGCATTTTGCTTTTGCAGGTGAAAGCTGGCCTGGGTGTAAATCTGATTGGCCTGGCTGTTGTCATGGTGGCCATTAACACGTGGGGAATTAGGCTCTTCCAGCTGAACACCTTTCCAGAATGGGCAGCAGTCAGCAACATCACAAGCCAAACGTAATCTTCAATTAAAAAAAGAGCAAAAGTGCAAGGCCAAAGCAAGCTGGGACAAAATATTGAACCTTCATTTCACATATGAAAGAAGGAAGCTTGAATCAGGATCTGCTGTAAAACTGAAGAAAATCCACTGGGAGGTCTTCTGCAACAGCTTTTCAGTTCTGAAAATCAGCGTGAGTTAAAAGGAGAGATTAGGTTTGCTCTATTGTTGCTTTCTCTGGGATACCATAACTCCTCCAAAATTCACTCCTCCAAGTTATTTCCCTGTAGCTTTTTCATGCCTTAGAGCAGTTAGGTAGGACTTGTATGCAGGACTCCAGTGGCAGAAGACAAGTACACATACACTGCTGTACTCAGCAGCAGCAGATTCAGTCCTACTATTGACTCCTACACTGAATGTAGGGTGAGCCTTACTCCCAAACCCAGAGGAGTTTTATAAGCCTACTTCTTTTGAAGCCAAATTATTCTTGTTTTTTTGAGATGACTCATCATTGTTTTGCAAACACCATTTTTCCACCTAACTTACATGACCTGGACAGAAATCCAGCTACCAACTACCAGTACAGTGCTTCAAAGGGATAATAGAAACCTCCAGAGAGGAAGGACAAATCTCCTTGCAAGGAGAATATGGAGTTTTTTTTCACACAGCACTAATAAATAAATTTCCAGTATTACAGTACTTGCAGTCTCAGCTTTGGAAGGAAGAGTTTCAGAAACAGAACGTTTTGTTCAAGACCTTCTCCATCATTACCGCAGTGGGAGTTCTTTCAGCAGGGGAAGCTGTGACCAGCAAAACCATATCAGGCAAACAACCCCTATCACTCTCCTGTCTCTTTGGCTGCTGTTTAATTATGCACTGATGATTCCCTGCCTGAGAAAGTCTCATTCCTGATGGCACTCAGTGCTGCTCCAGTAAGAAGGGAGAGGGCTGAAGTGGAGTGGTGCTGGTGTATCTCCCCATCCTGTGCATTCACTTGAATCTCACACCCCCTGCTCTCTAGCAGCCCAGAGAGCAGGAACTTCAAATGTAGGAAACTGTGGCATAAAATAAATAACTATCAAGCTAAAAGGCCAATCTCTTTATCTCTTATCAATAAACTGAATGCCCTGCTTTCCTCACTGGATCTCTGTGACACTCATTAATGTGATTACATTCTCATGTATTATGTCTAGTTTTTAATAATTTCTTTAATGTCAATACATTTAAACTGTATATTAGAATGATTGACTCTCATATAATCACACATACACTTTAATGAATTTTTATGCTTTCCACTTTTAATCTAGGCTCTCTTGATGTGAATGTATTCTGCAAAAATAAAATGTCAATAAAATAAATTATTCACTACTGCACATTCTGGTGCTCCATGAGCATACAAATTGGATATATTTCACCCATAACCCAGCAAAACCTTAGAGAAGCAGTGTTGAGACAGCAGCAGGTTTTGGTTTACTGCTTCTGTCAAAACATAGGGATCCCACAAACCCATCTTGGAAACAAACAGGTACAATAAAAGGTCTCGTGCTGGCAGAAGGGAGAAATATGGGAAAAAACCAAAAAGCATGCCTTAGCCCTTGTTCCAAAAGCAGGAAACTGTATCCTTTAGCAAAACAATTGCTATTCCTGGTAGTTCCTGTAAATTTCATTTTGAATAGCCCATGACCCTTGATGCATAAAACAAGACCTTGGCCTCACTTTTTCAACTCTTCTCCCAGCTCACCTGTTCCTGTGCTCCCCTCACCCTGAGCCTGCTGCCAGCACACAAAGCTCAGGGCAGCATCTGCCGTGCAGAGCCTCCTCATCCTTTCTGCTCCCCTCCCTGCTCAGGGTGTTTTCCTGCTCCCCAGAAGGAGGCTGCTCTGAACAGGGACCCCAAAACGCTGCTCAAAGCAGAGGCACGCTAGCCTCCCCTGACAGGAGCTCCATCCTAAAGCCCCAGGAGCAGGAGAGGAAGGGCTGCAATATCTGTTCACCAACATGGGCAACTTCCTCCAGGACAAGCACTAGAGCGGGTGGGCATGTCTGCAATACCAACAGTTTTGTCCCTACACACAGCAAGCAGAACATCTCTTTGTTCACAGTGCCTGAAGTTACTTTTGATCATTCTCCCCCTGCCAAGACACTTTCTGGCTGCTTCCTTCCCAAGGCTTTAGCTGCTCTGCACCTTTCACTTGCACTCATCTTCTAATCCTTTTCACTTCATGCTTCATCCACCAGCATCTTCCAATTGCTTTGCTGCTCAGCAACAAATCACTCTCTGCCCTCCTAATGCTGATTTCTCAGCTCTGCTCAGCTCCCACCACACCTTGCTATTCAAGAGATTTCCCAGAGGATATGAACACGGGATATTCTCATTTGGGAGAGACCAGGAGCTGGCAATCCATCCAGCCTTAGGGAGACCTGGGATTACTCACAAATCAAACAGGGTGCCCAGCAGTGCTCTTCAGTAAGAACAGCAATAGCAGTAGGTAAATGAAATGGCTCGGTGCTCTTGCACATCTCAAACAATATTTCTTCAGAAGCGTTTCCAGGAGGCTCTGGTGTAACTCATGTCTCATGAAATTGGTACAGAGGCATTTGGAGTGGCCTCAGGCAAGGACTTTCCCCAACAGACTGTTTCTGCTGTTTTGGTGCTCTTGGCATGCTTCCACATTCACAGCTGCTGGCACTCGTCACTGCCATGTCCCACCAGGTAGATGCATGAGGCAGTGGGTTGTGGTTTTGGGATGTAAAACCAATGAACATTCATGTTAGTGAAGTTTTGTGATGTGCATCCACCAACTTTATTTGGGTTCTGACACCCAATAAGCACCCAATTAGCTTTGCTGTCTGGCTTTTTGTTTATTTTTGTTATTAACCCTTGACTGGTTAATGGCAGAAGAGCTTTAGGGCAGCATTTTCCAGCACAGGATAATACTCTCAACCCACAGTAAATGTTTTAGAAGTCTGTCAGTAGCTCATATATTCCTTTCCTCCCATTTTGCCTTGAACCTTCAGCTCCAGAATATCTCTCAAAACAATCAATACATGAACACAACTGTTTTGAGGAAAGGAAGGAAGCCTGCATATTTTAGCTGGCAATTTTAGCTACCCACATAGGCATTTGAAATGGACATTCACAGAGTTCATGTTAAGTGGGAAACTTGCTCCTGGCTAACTTCACGGAGCATCCATCTTTTGTGCCCTGCTATGACACCAGTGCATCCAAAGCATTCTGAGCCACCAGATGCAAGACCTGCACCAAGCACTCATTATCTGTGCTCACCCTCTGAAAGGTAAGGTCAAATTTTAGTATCACCTAGAACAACCTCAGGCTAGGTAAAATGTGTTAAGAAGTTGCCAAGTCCTATCAGCTGTGTTATAATGTTATCCAGATTTACAGCTTACTACATGGGAGGAAAAAACCCAGCTTGAGCCAAAATGGAAAGTTTTGCAAACAGTGTGAAACACCTCAGAAATCCTGTCTTTAATACAAATGAGCATATATTGTTTCCACATCATTACATCTGCAGCTTTTCACTTACTGATATGCTAGGGGAAAAAAAAAAAAAAAAAAAAAAAATTCTAACATCTGCTTGGAATGCTTAGCTGAAAAGCTCCAAAAACATTCTTAAAGTATCTGGCATGCTTGGCAGCAAATACAGAGATTTTGAACATTATCTCACTCCTCATCCCCATGTAAAGAAAGGGAAGAACAATAAAGTACGTTTGAGCAAAGAAATAATCCAATTTTAAACACTAATATAATTTTACATAGCCAGCAAAGAAAAATGAATGGGCTAGAGACAGTATTTTTCAATGCTCAAGAATAGGAAACAAAGGGGAGGGAGAGGAAGTTGAGGGAAACTTAAGTTCATCATGTTCATGAAAACATCAAAACAGCTGTGCAGCACTATCACTCTAGGGAAACATTTCTGGGCATGGAAGAAAATTCTTTCAGTCAGGTCTGAAGTCTGAAGATAATGGAAATCTCTTTGGATATCTTCCACACATGCTGCTACCACAGGGCTTCTGATAGCTGGGTTCAGGTGGTACAACCGTTTCTCCCTGTCAGAGTTTCTTGGAGTGGTTCCTGTGGAGAAAATTGGTTGCATCGCTACTAAGATTGTCTGACTTGAGTTGGCTTTTAAACTTCTCAAATAACCTTTTGCAAAGACTGAAAGCTTTTATGTCAGCTACACATTTCAGGACAGAGGTGAAAGGAAGGATTTAAAATCACAGGTGAAATATTCCTTGTATATATTTATATTGCTTAAGAAGGAGAATCTTCGCATGAGTAATACTTTCCTCTGTTTCAGGAATGCATTGTGGAAGAACAATGTCACCACCACACTTTGGTAAAGGATGCAAGTGTTTAGTGTATAGTACACTATAAATGTGCCTTTACTGATCCAATGAGAACTCCTGAACTTGGGAGTCCACTCAGACATATCAAAAATTAAAGGCTTTGGGGTAGAGAGTGAAAATTACCATGGGTACATAGAGACTTCTGTACTTTAAAGCTTTGATGCTCTGTTTATATCAAACAGCACATTTCACTGACAAAGCAATACAATTGGTGCCCAGTGCTTAGTTCTTTTCCTTCTGAGTGCCCCTAGACCTGTCTAATGGACTAAACACCCATCAGAGATCAAAGTACATCTTCTGATTTAGTCTCTTCTGAGACAAATAGGGACCACATGCTCTATGGGTTTTCCTATGATGAGAATGAAAACATAGTAAAAGGACAAACCACTTTGAAGGCACAATCCTCATCCTAATTAAAACATTAATGGAGAAGCACTCTAGGTATGCTTTAATCTAGAGCCTGAACAAATGGAGATCATTCTCTGTGCTTCTCTGGAGCACTTCATCACCAGGTATTCTCAATAAGAGCAAAAACATCTTCCTGGCACTTTTCTGTGTTCTTCACATCCTGCAAAAAACTGTCAAGGGGACTCTGTCATTTAAGCCATGTTACAGAGTTGATAGACCTCTTCCATTTTAAGGGAAAAAAATATTTGATAGATTTTTGAATTAATAAAATTGACATCTCCTGAAATCGTTGCCACTTTTTTTTCAAAATTTACAACAGGATTTTTGCAGAATTATGGTTTCAAGCAGAAGACAAGAGTTCTACAATGGATGTGTGTTTTCTCACACACCAGAGGTTTTAATGGCTGCTTTTTTGCTTTGCTTTTGTGTGTGGCTTAAGGATAGTAAAGTAACACTGCTCACAACAAATGACAAGAAACTCTGAAACTTACTTCTTGATGCATTTAATTTCTTTTGTGCTGTTCTAAGAGCTCGGGTATTATCAAGTGTGAGGTTATAATTGTAACAGGACCAAAAGCACTCCAGTTGGATCAGGTAAAAACAGGTTACAAAATATTAGGAAAAGAAATACTGAAAAATACAAATGAGATCATCCAGTCACGCACCAGTGGCAAGTCCAAATTCTGAAACACTTGAAAATCAGCCCCAGGAAAAGTTCACAGCTGCCCTTTCAAAAGAAGGATATTCCAGTTC